TAGTATTTTCATTCTATCTGGTTTTTTAGCATTGTTTTCATCATTCCTGCTCAGAGTATTCTTGAGCATTTTTTGGAGTACTGGTTGTATAGTCATATCTCTGAGCTGGTTTTTTTTCTTTTTCTGTCTATTTTGAAGGAAAGTTTTTCAGGTCATGTGAATCTGAATTGGAAGCTGTTTGCTCTTAGGGCTTGAAATACTTCACTCTCAGCTCTTCTGGCTTTAAGGTTTGTGTTGAGAGACCTGTGTAAATCTAAAGGGTTTACCTTTATATTTATCTTTTGTTTTCCTCTGAGTTCTTTTAAAATTCTGGGGGTTTTGGGTTTTTGTTTTGTTTTTGGCATCTGGTAATTTAATAAGGGTATACCTTGGTAAGCTTCTTTTATCATCATAGGTGTTTGGTGTTCCGGAAGGCTTGCGTACTTGAATTCTGAACTCTTTTCTCAGGCTTGGGACATTTTCTGCTATGATTTCTGTGAGCTCCATCTGTATTATCTTCTACCTTATAATACCTTATAATATAGATATTCTGTAATTACTCTTAGGTTGTTTTTGTTTGTTCTTCATGTCGCCTGGTAGCTTCTAAGTGGTCTGTTGTTTCTTTCTATGATTTCTCTGAGTAGTTTTTCATAATTTATCATTTTGTCCTCAATTTTAGATATTCTGTTTTCACACTGGTCATTTCTGCAGTTTATGAACTGTATATAATTTTTAATTTCAGTTATCTCTGTCTGCTATCTGTTTGTGGATTCTATATCTTTAGTGAATTTGTCATTCATGTTTTGGACTGTTTTGGTCAGCTCTTCCAATTTTTTACTCATCTCTCCTGGATCCATATTGAGTATTTTCATGGAGAATTCCATGAACTCTTGGCTTATTTCTTCTTTCCTCCTTTCTTTATGACTTCTCTATTCTTTTTATAGTATTCCACTACTTGGTGTTTTTCCCCCCACCCTCCATTTGTGTCCCCTTGATCTGCTTTAGGAGAGTTAGAGACCTTGGGCGTCTTCTGTCACCTTGTTTTCCCGTGGTCCTGTGGGTGTGTATATCTGCTCTTAATTTTTGTGTTCACTCTATTTCTCCTCCTCCTCCTCTTCCTTCTTCTCTTCTCTTTTCTTTTTTGTTACTGCTGGTTGAAGTCTAGTAAGATGGGAAGAGCATATTGTTTTTATGAAGATTTTTAGTAAGATACTACCTCACCATCATGTGTTTTCAGCTTATGTGTTCAGTGATAGTATTTACTCCTTCAGTTATTTAATTTAAGTGATTTGGACTCTGTTTTTATGTTTTGCAGAAAACATAATTCTAGTTATTATAGCCTCAACAGGCCTGAATTTATGCTGTTTATATAAGACGGATCATACACTTTCACTTTTATCCTTTACCAACCTTCTATCCAGGCTGTTCTTTTGTTCTTAACTCTTGTTCTGCAGTGAGGTAGGAGAGGTGGAAGGAAGCGACTTAAGCATGGGTGACAGAGGAATGCAAGGCGGTAAGGGAAGTGGTTTCCAAGGCTGACAGTGGTCAGTGAGGGAAAAAAGGAAATTTGATATGGCTCAGATATTGTTGGAGTAACTTTAGTTGTCATGAAGGCTTGTACTGAGGGATATAGGAAGATATTGGTGGGGACAAGGACAAAATATAGGAGGAGGGAGATGTGCTTTGTGTTTGAGGAAAGCTGTGTGGCTGTCAGACCCTGCTGCCAGCTTTGTGTCTGTAATATGGAAGAGAGGTGTGGGAGGACAGGGCCTTGTTAAGAACGATGGGGAAGACAGGGTGATTCTGGAGCGTATGGGAGTGACTGTGAGAGGAGAGAACATGGAAAATTAAAAGTTTGAGAGGAGGAGTTTATACTGAGGAAAAGGATTGAGCGATAAAGTAATAGCACTGGCATGGGAGCTTGAGGTGAAGAAAGTAGAAGAGGAGGTTAGGAGAGGGGGAGCCCAGGCACCCACAGAACCAAAGCAGCTAGAAGAAAGATGAGCAAAACCAGATCAACCAGATCAATGCAAAACAATCATAAAAAACCCCTAGGAGACATCCAGTGAGAACTGCATTTAAATACTCCATCCAGACAGCACATAGCCGCTTGTCAGAAGTCTGGGCGGCAGGCAGCCCCCTGTGAAGTGGGACCCCACAGTGTCAGGTGCACCTGTGCGCACGCCCCAGCGGGTGTCCTCAGGAGACTGCAGTTGCTTTCCCACACTGCTGTGGGTGGTGCAGATGGCAGTGCGTGCTGTGGAGCTGCTCTGCCCCTCACTCTGTGTATCTCATGGTGACTCGCAACCAACTCAGCTGACCTATGGTCCACAGAGCTCTCGCCAGCTGGTCTCTGTGCACTTGCCTATGACTCTACAGCAAGCAAGTCAGCCAGGTGAGTGTGGGGCCATGTGCACACACACTGGCAAACTTGCCAGAGTTCTGAGAAGGCAGGACATCCTTGCCCGGGTGTCCCGTTTCTGGCCTGAGTTTGAGAGGGTGGAGCATCAGCTGCTCTCAGTAAGCGCTGGGGCAGAGAACGCAGGACTGGTATTTTCCTATGTATTTGGAGAGGGACCATGTCTGGGGGTGAAGATGCGAAGACTGTTCCAGGAATCTGGCCTGCATCGTTAGTTTGGGCTCTGAGACTTCCTGCCTGACTATCAAAATGGCTGCTCCCCAGAGGAGCGAGGTGCAGCGCCGGGGAACCTGCCACAACAGCCTGCTTCCCTTCATCAAATGTCCATGTTTCACCTCATCTATGGTCTTTCCTAATAATTTTCTGTTGTGGCGTGAGACTTTTGGATCCATGTCTGGATTCTGACCCTTTTTTCTTTGGCACTGCCCCCCTGCTCTGCTTCCCAGCTGCCACAAACTAAGCAGCTTTGCTGCACCACAGCCCTCTGCCATGATGTTCCTGCCTCAGAATCTGCTGACCATGTCCTGAATCCCCTGGAACCAGAAACTAGATTAAGTCTCTCTGAGCGTCAGTCCTCGGTAGTGCATTTGTGGATGTACTCATTGTCCCAAGTGTTGCTTGGTTAGGTGTTATTTCAACCAGTTGATTCTAGTATTTAATAAATTTGAAAATATTGTCATTTTTTATTTCCTGTTATATTCTTATAAAAATTAACAAAAAATACCAGTTTTGGTTGTCCTGTATCTAAATGATTACACTGGATAAGTGGCTAAATTGTGAATTTCAGGTATTATGTTCTAGCAACAGGAAACATGCCTAGCGTGCTGGTCCTGCTTATGAGTGTACAGTGGGTTAAGTTAGGTGTTTTATAGGGAAATTGACATTTTCCTTCCACCACCCTCCCCCAGGATTCTTTGCCCAACAGCTTGAAGATTTTGAATAGAATAATTGTGTAAGGATTATCTGCCTGAGACACCTTCATAGAACAAAGCATTTATAGAACAGAGGTGAATGGGCTGTTCATATTCTAAAGTCTACTGTGATTATGAACAAAACTTCCTATCATTTTATCAATGATCCTATGTGGGATTTACTTAGGAAAAACAAATTATTTTCTCACTCCCACTTGCTGACTCAGAGGAACTCATGTTTCAGGGAGTCAAAATAGGGAAACCTTGATGTTTTTTCCTTTTCATGATCCATATTTTATTTTCTTTTGCCTACAATCTAGACCAATCTTTACTGTTTTGCCTATCTCCCAAATTAATGTGCTGTGTAAAGAAAAGTTTTGTTGATTCTCGTAAATATTATTCACTATCCAAAAAGTTCTTAGTCTTTCAGTTTTGGCAGCACAAAGTTTTTCTTTCTTTTTTTTTTTTGTCTTTTTCACTTTTTATCAGTACCAGGGATCGAACTCACGACCACCTGCTTGCAAGGCAGGTGCTTATGCCGCTGAGCTAAATCCCCAGCCCCGGCAGCACAAAGTTTAACACTGACCAAAGTCAGTTGTTGTTTTATTTAGCTACTTGGAGCTGAGTCTAGAGAGTGAAGTGGTCATAGGTAAAAATAACAGTAAGTAACCCCAGGCTTCCAGCTGCAACAAAGAAATGTCAAGTCTTTGATTAAAATGATTCCAACTTCCATTTCAGATCCAACTTGCTCCTGGTGAGTCAACATGTGTCACAATCTGTGTAAAAGGACAACTCACCCTACACAGAAGCACATTTGAAAACCAGCTGCAAAACGTTAAATTAGGGCACGGAGGTTGTCAGTTGCCACAAGGCCAACTTGTGCCAATGTAGTTGCCAAACGAAATAGAGGGCACTTTCCGCAGGGCACCCTCCTGGGCTGAGGCTGCTCCTCTGTTCCTTGGGCTCTCAGTGGTCAATTCAAGTGAGGCCAGTGGCCACTGACCACCTCAGCCAGGTGGCCCCAGATGTGTGAGCAAACCCCCAAAGACTAAGAGCTCCTTTGGAGTGAACCAAGCCCAAATGGTTCACCCACAGGCTGTAAGCTAGAGCTACAGTGGTTGTTTTGATCTACCGAACTCTGGGGTGGTTTGCAACGATGGGTATCAGGAAGAAGTCCTGTCTTGTAAATTCTGGGAATATTTCTCGGTTATTGTCATTTCAAATATTACTTCTTTCCCATTTTCCAAGTGTCCCATCCACAGATTCTATTAGATGTCCATTTATGAATCTTTCCCTTGTGCTTCTTCAATTCTTACTCATTGTGTTTTTTATTTTTGTCTCTGCTACATTCTGAGTCATTTCTTTAGTTTGTTTCTTTTTCTTAAATTTCATCCATCCAACATATTTATTTAGTTTTGAGTTTCAATGGATGTAAATTTTATTAATGAAAGAGCTGTTTTGGTCCACTTTTTAAATTTTATTTGTTTTTTGAAACAGAATCATGTCATGTTGCCCAGGTCAGATGCGGAACTCCTGAGCTCCAGCCGTTTTCCTGAGAGGCTGGGACTGCGGGGCTCACCTCCAAGCCTGGTCGTCCTTTTGTTTGTGAGCTCTCTTCTTTTTCAGGATTGCATTTCCTGTTAATTTTGTATCTAAATGTTGGACTGGTAAGTGGCTGACTCTTGAGGTGGTTCTCTCCTGTGCTTTGGAGTCTTATTCAGGAATTTTTTTTCAGGAGATTTTTCCCTAGTGAAGATCTGTGTGGCTTCCGGTTTCCTTCAGCTGGGTCTTACAGACCCCAGAGCACCCCGCCTGCTGTTACGAGCCTTTCAGCTTCTACTCCAGCCTTGCAGCAGATCTTGAGTCCTGGTAGGTGTGGCATGAACTGGGTTTCAGGTTTTTCTGAAGGAGCTTCTGTTTGCCTCTAGCCTGAGGAAAGAGGAGTTGGTCTGATCCTGTTTATGCCATTGATCCAGCCCTCGGAACTCAGAGCCTGCCAAGTGCTGAATTCCAGTTGCCTTCCTTGCTTACACCAGAGACAACATCTGCTTGGCTTGCAGCAGTGTTAAAATTCCAGGAACCTGTGGGACTTAGGGCTGGCCCAGACTCTGCAGAGGCTATGCTGCAATGAGCCCTCTATTTATTGCTCAGTCTCTGAGGAGCCTGTTTGTTCCTTGAACCTGGAGGATTCCCTTTCTCCTTGACAGATATAGATATATAGAGAGATGGGTAGATATACAGAAGTAGCAACTGTTGTAAATCGTGATGTGTATCTATACAGATATCCCCCAGCTTTCTCTGTAGGAATTCGGCATCCTCTTATTTTGTTATATTGCTTGCACTTTCCTTCTCCACATGTTTTGAGATATAATTTTATAATAATGAAAGACAAAATTTCACAACAAATATATAATATGTGAGAGACATGTATGCTTGTTAGAATAATTGTCAGCAGCAACAGTCATGGGATGTTTCAAGATGCTGCACTGACTTTTTGCCAAATCAAAAGTGTAAAAATTAAGCACAAGTGGGAGATCTAGAAAATACTATAAATAAGATAGGCTTAATACCTATAAGTCAAGCTTAGTATCCTAGAAACCATGACTTCATCTTTTCTGATGCTCGTTTGAAATTAACAGCCATCAAGAACTTGATAGCAATGAATGGAGTTGAGTCATTTGTGGTTGGGGCATCTGCCTCCTAAGCCAGCTTGGTGGATCGCTGGTGTATCAGAGTCAGGTTTTAATGGTGGGTGCCACCACAGTTGTCTTCCAAATCACTCCAACTCTGCAGGATACAAAATTGAGCTGCTCTGTTGTGGTGGGATTTGGAGAAAGGGTGACTTCAGGTATTCTTATGTACTCCATAAATCACTGAAACAGGACATTCTGATTCACCAACATTTGACTCATGGAAAACCCACCTGTATACCCACCTTGTGGCTTCTTCCCAGTTACTCCTATGAAGGGAAAATGGAGAGAAAATGTAGTACTATATTCACATTATATTATAGTAAAATTATCTTTTTAGTGTATTCTGCAGTACATTCAATTTACAGTCATCACAAAGAGTGGGTACATGTACCTAATACCTTGATTCTGTTTTTCAGTATCCTTCCAATTCCCTCCCTCCCTCCTCCTCTAATTCCCTTTCCCCATTTTCATACTTGTTATTAATCTTATCTCATGCTTATAACACATCATATTTATATTCATTGAGGTTACTAGGTTCCTGTACATGGCACAGCTTTATTCTATTTATTTTCCCTCCCCATCTTCTATGGTCTCCAGGACCCCCCATGTGCAAGAGATCTATCTTTTATCCATGCTTTATTATGTTCTTTGTACTTTTTCACACTCAAATGAGAGATCCTGTATGGTATGTAAGCTCATGTGCTTGGCTTTTTCACTCAACATTATATTTTCCAGGTATATCTATTCCCTGCCAATATTTCAAATTTGCCTTTCTTTTTAGCCAAGTAATATTTCATTATGTATAGCTACCGCATTTTCCTTATTCAGTCACCTCTTGATTGCCATACAGACCACTTTTTTTAGCTGTTATGAATTGTGCTACTACAAACATTGGTTGCACACACCACTCTAGTATGGTGTTGTTAGTCTATTTGAGGAGACACCTAGAAAGGGTATAGCTATACCTAGCTTTATGAAACTTTTAATGTTAATTCTTTTAAGAGTTTCTATAGTAGTGGTACAACTTTACATTTTCCCCAACAATGCAGGATGGTTCCTTTTTCACTGTGGCCACATCAGGATTTGTTTGTTTTTTTGTTTTTGTTTTTCTTTTTTTTTGCACCCAGGATTGAACTCACACCTTTGTGCTTGCCAGGCAAGTGCTTATGCCACTGAACTAAATTCCTGACCCTATTTTTTGATTTCTTGATGATTCCCATTTTTCCTGGTATAAGGTAGAATCTTAGCATGTGCCTTAGTTACTTTTCTTGCTGACACTCACAGGTTAAAAGAGGAAAATTTAAGATTTATTTCAGCTTACATTTTGTACAAGTTTCAGACAATAGTCAACTGGCTCCATGGTAGGGTGGCACAGCAGAGGAGCCTCACAGGTGAGAAATAGTTCGTGGTGGGCATGCAGTGAGCAGCCAATAGCAAGCAGCGAAGTGGTGAGCCTACATTTTTTTTTGTCCTTTCTATTCCGTCAAGGTTACAGGACTACTGATTGGTGCCACCCACACCCAGGTGGGTCTCCTGTTACCCACAGTCAGAACTATGCTTATTCTAATCAGTGGATCACACACTCTCAATCCCAGTATTACACATGCTAGATCCAGCAAGCTCTGAAAAGCCCCGCCTGTGAGCACATGAGGCTTTGGGGTAGGGCATCTACTATCGTCACAACAGCATTGTTTCAGGTTGCATTTCTCTAGTGACCAGAGATGTTGAACATTTTTTCATATATTTGTTGGTCATTTGAATTTCTTCTTTGGAGAAGTGTGTGTTTATTTTAATCACCCGTTTCTTAAGTCTTTTGTTTTAGGTGGTCACAGTTTATTGAGTTCTTTATATATTTTAGGTATTATAGAATTGCTGGCAAAAATGTTTCCCACTCTGAAGGTTGTCTTTTATTCTATTAATTGATTCCTTTGCTGCGCAGAATCTTTTTAATTTGATGTAATCCCATTTATTGATTCTTGCTGTTAATTTTGGTGAAATTGTGGTTCTGTTTAAAAATTCTCTCCACCTGTGGTTTCAGGAGTTTTGCCTATTTTATCTTCCAGTAGGTAAAGATATGGGTCCAGTTTTAATCTTCTGCAAACAGATAACTAGTTTTTCCCAGCACTATTTGTTGAATAGGCTGTCTTTTGTCTTTTGTATGATTTTGGCCCTTTTGTCAAATATCAAAGAACGAAATTTGTCTAGGGCTGTTTCCATTTCTCCTATTCTGTTCCATTGATCCATTGTGTTCTAGGACCATGCTGTTTTTATTACTATTATTTTGTTGTATAATTTGAGGTCAGGTAGTGTGATGGCTCCTGCTTTGCTCTTGATGCTCAAGATTACTTCTGCTGTTCTTGGTCTCTTCTGGTTTCATATTAATTTTAGCATTGTTTTCTCTATGTCTGTGAAGTATGACGTTCATATTTTAGTTGGGAGTGCATTAAATCCGCAGAATAGTTTTGGGAGTATGACTATTTTGACAATATTGATTCTCTCTATCCAAGAGGAGGAGATATCTTTTCATTTTCCAATATCCTCGTCCATCTTCTCTTTTAGACTACTGTAGCCTTGGTTATAGAGGTCTTTCATTTCCTTGGTTAGGTTAATATCTAGATACTTCATTTTTCTTGAAACTGCCATGATGGTATTTTTCCACAATATCCTTCTCATTGAGGTCACTATTGGTGTACACAATTGCTGTTGAGATTTGCATGTTAATTTCATATTCTGCTATATTTCAAGAGTTCGGTATTAATTCTAGGAGGGTTTTTGGAATTCTTTGGCTCTTCTATGTAGAATATCATGTCACCTGCAAATAATGATAATTTGAATTCTTTCTTTCCTATGTGTATGCCTTGTATTTCTTTCTTTTGCATGTTGGTCTGGTTAATGTTTTGAGTTCTTATCGTGAAGAGGTGTTGGATATTGACAAAAGGCTTTTCTGTATCTATTGATACGATTATGTGGTCATTTACTTTGCTTCTATTTATGTGATATATTACATTTATTGATTTGCATATGTTGAACTATCCTTGCATCTCTGGAATAAAATCTATTTGGTGATGATATATGATCTCTTAATGATGAGCTGCCTTCTATTTGCTAATACCTTGTTGAAAATTTTTGCATCTATGTTTATTAAAAGGTTAGTCTGTTGTTTTCTTTTTCTACTGGTCTCTAATTTGGGGATAAGAGTTATTATGAATTCCATAAGTGAATTGATAGCACTCTATCTCTTTCAATATCTTTGAAGACTTTTAGGGGTATCAGTGATACAACATGCTTTAATGTTTTGTAGAATTCAGCAGTGAATCCATCAGACCTTAGGGCCTTTTTTAGTTTGTAGATTCTTTATTACTGCCCTAATATTATTGCTTGTTATTGAATTTTTCAGAATTTTTTTCTGCAGCATTTTTATGTATTGTGAGTTAATTTGGTAATTTATGTGAGTCTAAGATTATGTTCCTTTCTTCAAAATTGCCCAATTGGTTGGTAAACAATTATTCGTAATATTTGGTATCTTCTACATTTTGACAGTGTCTATTGTGATTCTACCTTTCTCATTGCTAATTGCACTGATGTGAGTTTTCTCTCCCTTTTTCTTGGTAATTTTGGCTGAAGGTTATCTATTTTTGTTTATTCTTTCAAAGAACCAGCTCTTTGACTTGTTGATTATTTGTATTGTTTTCTTAGTCTCAATTTCATTGATTTTTTTTGCTTAATCTGATTTTCCCCTTTAATTTTCATTGGTCCTAGACTGTTGTTTTTCAAGTATCTTAAGGTTTCTTATAAGGTTATTTATTTGAACTGGCTCTGTTTTGCTATTGTTAGCACTGATCACAATGAACTTCCCTCTTAGAGTGGCATTTTATAATTTCTCTGGTGTCCTAGTAAGTTGTTCAGGTATTGTCTTTATTTTTTTATTATTTATTTATTTTTTATTTGGGGATCAAACTTGTAAACTAGCACTTGCCAGGCAGGTGCTTATGTCACTGAGTTAAATCCCCAGTCCTCTATTTTTATTTTTAATTAATTAATTAATTAATTTTGTCTTTTTGAGACAAGGTCTTAAATGCAGTTCAAGCTGGCCTTGGGCTCACTTTGTAGGCCAGGCTGTTGTTGAACTTGCAAATGATTCTGCTGCCTCAGCCTCCCAAGTCCTCTCAATCTTGAGATTACAGGAGTAAGCCACCATGTGTGTGTGTGTGTGTGTGTGTGTGTGTGTGTGTGTGTGTCGGTCTGTCAGTCTGTCTGTCAGTCTGTCTATCTGTCTGTGACCTTCTCTAAGAATTTATCATAATTTACCATTTCATCCTCAATTTCAGACACTCTAATCTCCACACTGGTCATTTCTGCCACTTATAAATTCTATATAGTTTTTATTTCAGTTATTTCTATCTGATGTCTTTCCAAGGATTGTAAATCCTTGGTGACTTATCATTCATATTTTGAACTGATCTGGTCAGTTTCATATTGTTTGGTTGAGAATGTGCATAAATATTTATATACTTTTTCATCTCCCAATATTTTACTTATACCCCTGAATGCACTTTGGCTAAGCTGAGGAATATTTCTGTGAGCTTTTGGTGCATTTCCTCTTGGAACTTGTCCAGTTTCTTTATCTTTTCTATAACCTTTTTGTAGTGTTCCATTTCCCGGTATGTTTGTGGTCCTTGAGCTGCCTCAAGAGAGCTGGGAGATCTTGGGAGTCTTTTGTTATCTTGTTGTCCCATGTTCCTATGTGCATGTGTATCCATTTTTATTGTTTATGGTCCCAAGGAAACCCAGACACTGGCACAGAGAAATAAGTTGTCAGCTACTATGTTACCTTGGCTGTAGTAGCAAATTCAGTACCATCAATGGTTATAAATGTTCATTGGATATTGACAAGCCCTAGGAGTCACTCATAAGCATCCCCTCAATCTGAGGACTATGATTTTATTGAAGACAATTAAGCCATATAAATATTGCCCATAGTACTTTAGACCACTCATTTCTGCTGAATGGAGGCAGCAGCACCAGACCTCAGAGATCTTGCCACACCAGCTGTCTTCTCTTTCAAGACTGCCCCCCTCCACACTTCACCCTCCACACCTGGCCTCCCACAGTGGAATACAGGCCCTGTGAACTTCCTGGTTAGATCGCAGGCCTCCCAGGGGGTCTGTTCTATTCCTCTCCAAGCCTCCCTCTCAAGGCTATCTCTCACCTGGTTTCTGTGGCAACACTTCAGTTCTGATGCAAAGCTCTCCTCCTGGGTGTTGGGCTCTCCTTCACTGAGGTTGGTCTGTTGGTTTTCACTGCTGTTACCCTGTGCAGGAGACCCCAGGAGCACGGGTGGCATCACTTGGGGACAGAGGGGTTGGTCATTAGTTCCCAGATTCCCCCCTGGTTTAGCATGTGGGTAAAATATGAATGATTTTAATCCACTATATTATGAGATGTTATAATAGATGTAACAATGTGAAGAGTTGTGCTATATGTTATAGAATATCTGTATCTGTATGAGATCAACACATAATAATGTAATAAAAAAGAAATTTATAGAATAAAATATACATATCTATACAATTTTTAAATACACAGAAATAACATTATTTAAAGATATATATCTACTTGAAACAAACACAATAAACTTAATAAATGTCAATGAATCTCTCTGTGTAATAATATTTTACATTTAGTCCTTTATTGAAGGAAACAATAGGCTATACATATTTTAAACATGAAGAGTTTTGATAGATATTTTCAATAGTCAGCTTTCTATTCATGTAGCAAAATACCTGTGAGAGGAGAGATTTATTTCTGGCTCACAGTCTTTGCAGTTCCAATCCACAGTTAGCTGACCTTTGTCTTAGTTATTTTCATGGTAGCTGAGAGAAAATACCCAGTACCCACAATTTAAGGAAGAAAAGCTTTATTTTGGCTCATTGTTTGCAGAAGTTTCAGTCCACAGTTGGCTGGCTCCAAGGCAGGGCTGCATGGAAGTCAGGTGTGGGAGAGGAGAAGCCTCTCAAGGCAGGGCAGCAGGAAGGGAGGAGGAGGCAGACAGACCCTTCCGGGCCATGCCCCCAGGGGCCCACCTCCTCCAAAAAGGTTTCACCTCCCAAATCACATTCAGTGATAAACTCTTCAGTGGGCTAATGCATCAGTGGGTATCACACCCCATGATCCAATCACAATCACCTCTCCAAGTCCCCATCACAAGCACACAAAGCTTTTGAGGGGACATCTGTCTGTAAACCATAACCTCCCTGTTGGTTTTGGGCTTCTGAAGGGCAGTACAGCCAGGCATGGTGGATCATGCCTGTAATCTCAGCACTCGGGAGGATTGTTGCGAGTTCAAGACCAGCTTAGGCCACAAAGTGAGCTCAAGGCCAGCCTGAACTGCATATAGAGACCCTGTCTCAAAAAGACAAAAAAAAAAAATCAAATAATGAAGGGCAGTACAACATAGCAGGGAATGTTTGGTAGGCTAAACTATTTACCTTGTGGCAGCTGGGAAGCAAAAAGTGAGAAAAAGGAGGGTCCAGGTCCCAGTATCCCCTCTAGGATCCACCCCACAAAGTGACTGAAAGACTTCCAGCAAGGCCTTGCTCTGTATTTTTGCTTGTTTTGGGGGTTGCTGGTGTGTGGGATTACCCCCGGGGCCTTGCACACCTCAGGCAAGAGATCAACCACTGAGCCACATGCCAGTAATGTTTTACGTTTATTCTGACACCAAATTTGTTAAGTTTCCCAGGCTGGCCTCAAAAACTCAGTCCTTCTACCTCAGACTCTAGGGTAGTTGGGATTATAAAACAGTGCTACCTCAACCAGCTAGGCCCCACCTCTTAACAACTCCACCAACTCAACTCCCAGTACCACAGTGAGGACAAAGGCTTTAGCACATGTTCCTCTGGGGGGCCACTTATCCAAACCTTGGCAGTGCGCACCCATGAAAACTTTCCTGCCTCCCAGACAAAGGCCACTTCTGCCACTCACAGTAGTTCCCTGGGTCCTGTCAGTAATTCACTTCCTCCCCACACTGTGGCAGCTGCTGATCAGCTTTATGTCACTATGAACCAGTTTGCTTTCTTGAGAATTTTTTATAAGGGGAATCCTAAATTATGTATGCGTCTGAAGACAGGATGTCTTGCAACTTTCATGCAGAAATTTCTCAAAATAAAGACAATTGAAAAAATCTTAGAACTGCTGAAAAATAAACTAGAGCATATAATCCATGATTGGGACATGGAGGAAGGAGGGAAATCCTGGGGAAGTAGGTACCATTCAGGGTCTGGGCCCGAGTCAACCGTCAGTAAATATGCTATAGTCACTTCCACATTGCCCAAGTCTTCCTTGATATAACCTGTGTGTATTCATCTTGTGACACTGCCTGAAAGTGCACAGAGATTGCAGAGTCTTTTGATAACTAAGTGGCCCATTAATGCCAAACACATCACTGAAAATTCACTCAAGGCAGACTCAAGGCACTGAGGTGCCTGCCATCCCGCACTCCCCTGAATTTACCCTCACTAAGGGATGAGCTTTAGACCATGGCAGGACATCCTGAAGCATGGAATAGTGTTTGCACCCTGGGAGATTTGGGGACCACGGTGGTGAGAAGAGCTAGGGTACTAAAATTGGGACCAACAAGGTTGGAAAGGGCCAGAAAAGCATTGAGGAGACAGGCAGTTACATAACTTCACCCCTTTATAATGTTCTATTATATACTGGGCAGCTCTCTGCTGAGAATGTGGCAGAGGAAATTCCCATTCCATCTGCTTGCATCTTTTATTCTCAATACCAGACAATTCTTATTCCCTAAATCCAGCCTGAGCTCATTATCGCTCTGTGGATTAAATCGGATCTCGTTGGCTGGGCCAGGAACCCACAGTTCAGATATAACATTGTTTGTGTGGAAAAACACACCCAAATAGCAAATATTTGATCTACAGAGAAAGTTTTGAAACATGACTTGTTGTACTCTAGGGGCTCCTTACCTATATAAATCTTGGCAACAATGAGCTGTGTTATAATGGAAATATTTTCAAAGATATCACTCTTAATCTATAGCCAGTATCAGTCATTAAAACATACTGTTCAGTCTTGGGGCCCATAAGTGGAGGATGTTATGAAGAGATTGGAAGTGAGCCAGGCAGACAAATTCAGCTGTGAAAGGTTTTGAAAAATAGCCCTTCAGGGAAAAGTCTACATTGGCTCCAAGAGAGGTGTGATTAGACTAGATATTAGTCTGCAGTCCACAGAGGGATGTTACATCAAGTCTCTTTTCTCTGTGTCCACAAAGGCCAATATTAAAAAAAGTAAGTTTATGTTATGGAGGAAGAAATTTGAACAAGGTATCTGCCCCCAGCTTGACGCCACCGTCAACCCCCAAGCTTCTCACCGGCTCCTCTGATCTCTCATCAGGCACAGGTCATGCCCATGCCTATGGGTTCTTCAGCTCATAGCTCGTGGCGTTCATTGTTGTATCCGGGAAACCGATGCTTTCTGCCCAACAATATGTTTCAAAGCTACAAAGAAGACAAAGTGAGATCAGTGAAATGTCCTTTATCTGGAAAAATCCAGGTAAGAGCACTCACAGCACTTGGGCCATCATTTGGCATCATTTGACCTATTCTAAGTTAGCAGAGTAGGTGCCAGGAGCACGGTACAGCCCCACCAGAGCAGCGGGCTCACATTTGGGGGACTGCGAAGTGGCGGGTGAGACTGCGAGAAGTATGTGGAAACTGGGTCAGGAACTAGCCCGGTGGCCGCAAGAGGAGACCCCTGGTGCGAGGAAGGGGCCGCCAAGAAGCTGTGTCCAAACATTCGAGGTGCCATGAGGGGAAAGAGATTAGAAGCACGCTGGGCAGCTCCAGAGGGCAAATGCAGGGCTAAGGGGTCTAGATTGCGGAACAGAACATCAGCTGAAGAAGGGAACATTTTACACTGATTAAAGATGTTCACAGTGGACGGCGGCGCCTGGTGATGCAGGTGTGCAGGAAGTGGATAAATATGGGGGTTCTGGGGAAGAATTTCTGGCTCTCTGTCTCTTTCTTTTTTTTTTTTTTTCCCCTTTGTGTCTTGCTAATCAAGTGAAACTTTTAGAGAGCATTTTTTCTTAGTGTTCAGGAAAGGTGCGCTTCACAGTGTTGGCCACTAGAGGGACCGAGGGCAGCCGTGCTGCGCGCCAACACCTGCTCTAGAGCCAGAGAGGCCTGGCCCGCTGCCCTGCGGGGTCTGCTGCTCTCAGCACCTCCCGAAGGAACCCTCCCCAGATGTTTGTGTCTTACTAATTCATCAATGTCTGAGGGACCTCTGAACGTAGAAAGGCTTCATCATGGCTGCTTCAAATCTGTTTAGTGCTTGGTATATTAATTATATAAACTGCTTTCTTCTAAAAATCTAAGCATTCCTTAAAGAACAAACAAGTGAAAATTTATGAACTTAATAGACAAAAAAATGTACATTTTACGTTTCAACATTCATTTATAAGCTGATTAAATTCTTAATATATGAAATACGATCAAAATATACAATGAATTTTTAAATTTAAAAAGTTACCACAATAAAAAGCGTATTACTATTCATCTTTAAATTATTCCCCCTTGTGCAAGCACAATTATCCCATCATTCTTGCCACTTTCAAAAGCAGTTCTGGAAATCATGAGTGCCTTCACAAGATGCATCTTAATATATGATGACTGCCGCTGTTAAGGACCACCGAACCGGAAGATAGGCTCGAAAAACATTGCCGTGTGCGCTCATCCACCTCCTTCAGCAGCTCTGGCCCCAAGTGACCTCTGGCTCTTCCCAAAACCAAAACGACCATGAAAGGTAAAAGTTTGGAATCAGCCACATAGCCATAGAGCCATAGAGACAGCCACAACAGCGCAACTAACAATGCTTAGGAAAGAAGAGATACAGAATGCTTTAGAAACCAGTAAGAGGAGTGGAATGGGTGTATTCAAATTAAGGGAGAGTATTTTGAGGGGGAAAAATGACAGTGCAATACATTTTTAAAATTTAAACATTTGCTATTCTTTTAAAGCATACCTCATATATATTCTCCCAGATGTACAAAATACCTAGATCTCTTAAATACTACAAATGCCCTAAAAGCTTTTGAAATGGATCATCACAGTGATACATATGTGGAGTAAGTGATAAATCTGGTTATGTGACTGAGATTTCCAAGCAAATATTGAAGGTGGTACCTGTTTCTTTTGGTGCTTATAGTTAGATGCAAGTAGAAAGAGACAGAGTGAGAGAGAAAGAGAGAGAGAGAGAGATCTGATAACCAAAAGGAACAAGGACTTGATAATTTTTAAAAATTTCTATCTCTCCAGATGGCAAAAAATATTAAAGATAAGAAATTACTTTGGAGTATGTGGCATGGAAATAAGTCCTGAGCTAGAGAAGAAGCTTGTTCAGGCTTTGTAGAATATCGGGCGGTGAAAAGGTTGAGCACAGTCACACACACAGGAACCTCTCCGGAGATGAAAGACAGCTCTCAGAGAACATAATAGAAGGATTTGGGAAGCACAATTGAGTTGTCCTTCAACCGTCTCAGCAGGGACAGGTAGACGGGGCCTATCTTGTGGAGAACCAGGGAGTTGGCTTTGGTGAGAAGGGAAATTCACAGGAGTGTTTGAGGAAATTATTTCGCAAAAACACTGCTAAGTTAAACTGAAAGGAACAGAAAGAGTGAAAAATGAAAGGAAGCTGACAGATCTCAAATTTTGTTGGCAGGAAGCAGGATGATAAAACTTCTCTACTGCAAACCTGTGCTGCCTGTATGAAGAAAGAAAAGAGGACTAGGAAGGCAGAACCAACAGCCACTGGGACCTTCTCCCAGCTCTTGAAATCTAGTCAAGGAATTCTGCCAGGAGTCTTCAGGTGGAATTTTAGGCTGGTAATTCCTTTTTACTTCATGTTGTTCACCTTCCCCGCCCCAATTTTTTAAAATGGAAATGTCTATGAGTGTTTGATATTCCTGCTCCTCCATTGTATATTAGGAGTCAAATAACTTGTCTTTAGTTTTCCAGATTGAAGGATTTACACCTAAAGAGCCTTACCCATACCTGGCCCTGATTCAGATCAAGAGATTTGGACTTTGAGGAGATGTTGGAATGGTTGGATATTCTTGGGGATGTGGGAAAGGGGTCCATGTACATTGCATATGCAGAGACACAGGCGGTTGGGGACCAAAGGATAACAGACCCTAAGGGATCCTAGGGTCCCCACCTTCTCATTGCACCAAGTGCGAGCTCCCTTGGAGTGTGGATGGGACATGTGACTGGCTTCTAATAGTCAATCTGGCAAAAACCGATGGGACACAGGCTATGTGCACATGATTACATGATTACAGAAGATGGGCTCACCTTCCTAAGAAGGTCTCTCTTCCTTGTTGGCTTTGAGGGAGCAAACGCATGCTGTTAACCATTATATGAAGAGGGCCATACTGTGAGGAGCTTTAAACATCCTTTAACTGACAGAGAGAAAACAAGGTCCTCCGCCCTGCAGTCTGCAAGAGAACAATTGCTTAACAGCCACATGAGTGTGGAAGCAGAAGAGACCTCAGAGAAACATGTGATGTGTTACAGCAGCAGGCAGGAGCCTGTGGGTAGCCTGGGCACCCCACCGGGGAGGCTGGGAACCTGGATTTTTTCTGGTTGCTTTTCTCCTTGTCAGCGAAGAGAATTCCTTCATGATGGTCATAAATGTGCACACCTGGTCCAAGTGTCAAACAAACCAAAAACAAATCCAGGGAAGAGGGTCGACCACAATCCCAGATGACATGAGATCACCATGGGTCCATCCACAGCAAGCTAGGAGACTGAGGACTTGGATTGATGGCTGAAGGCAGAGGATCCAACAAGGATTCTGGTGTGGTTCTGGTGGGGATGGAGGGTCATGGACCCAAGGGGCACTTGAGCACCAGGTCTGGACAAGAGCAAGAAGTAGACAGACCCTGGAGCAAGCCACTGAGATGTGGGGTCACCCCCTCCAGCTGTTCCTCTCTAGGGAGCCCGAGGGTCCCATCTCAGGAAGTCCACAAGCAGTGGCTGAGTGTTCAGCTGGAGAGGATGTTGAAAAAGGGATTCCTGGGAGAGGACCACACACTGAAAATAACAGCTCACACCTACCCATGCACACACACGTCTCGGTTAAAGTCCATAGTGTGCCTTATCATATAGTATGCCCCCATTTTATACGTGGAGGAAGTGAGGCACAGCGGGGTGAGGTCATTTTTCCAGGGTCACACAACAAGCAAGGACTGTCTCTAAAGCAGGAATTGCCATTTGGAAGGCTTGCGGGCTGGCTTTACTGTGTCCATGCGATGCTTTGTTTTTCTTTTTAAAAATTTGACCTGTGCTTCATAATTAAAAGATTTCAGTTCAAAATTCTGTCTTGTGGTTTCTCTTGAAAAATCTAAAAATCTGGCAAATCCAGGTTTGTGGACCTTAAGGCCACAGGTGGCCGGTGCTGCGGTGTGCGCCCCCTGCAGGCGAAGAAGTGCAGAGCGCCGCAAGACTGGATAAATTTGTCAGGTCATGAAAAAAATATGGAACATGAATCATCTGTCCCTCTTCCTCTTCTTCCACCTGTCTTCTGCGCCTGAGAACCACTGAGTTTTACGGGTTACGTGGAACCACAAGACTCGATTTTTCCCTTCATCAATGCAGCTAGGACTCAGGTTACAGGAGACTGCAAAAACTGTACCTGACCTGGCTTCAACTGGCTTTTTTGTACACAAGTATTTTCAACTTGTTTTTTGCACAGGTGTTTGTTCCAGTTGGGTGTATGGTGCCTTCTTAGATTATGTTGTGTTGGGCGTGGTGGTGCATGCCTGTAATCCCTGAACTAGGGCGGCTGAGGCAAGAGGGTGTACAATGAAGTCCTCAGAAAGTCCTCGTGGCAGATCGGTGTCCTCTACCCCAGGGTTAGACCTTTGCTTCAACGACATTCAAAAGGGTTCTGCATAGCATAACATGACCGGTCTAGCGGAGCCCGTAAGAAGGCTTCCCTGTGGGATGTCTGTGTGTACCGGAGGCTTTCTGCAGCATCCTGCTAAGCTGCTTTGCAGAGTATGGGTCTAGGCTCAGCTTGCAGCTGCCTGGAAGGGCTGGGCGACACCCCCGCCCCCTATAGGGGTGGAGTGGGGATAGGCTGGGGGTATGGAAGGCCAAGCCTGTCCTTGGGAGCCTCGAGGAAAGACGGGGATTGCTTCCAGCTGCAGCCCTCAGTCTCAGGCATCTCCACAGATGTCTTTCAGGCCAGTAAGGCCTTGGGCCGTGCACAGAGAAGTGAAGACCAGCAACCTTGGCCTCGAGGCTGAAGTGCAGATAATATCCCGGCAGGGCGGAGTGGAGAGGAACATCCCCCCACCCCCCCCCAAGGTCAACGGAAAGCTGGACTCCAAGAAAAGCTGTTATTCCTTTTATTTATTTATTTTTTTTATTTTAAAGAGATTAAGACAAAACAGAACATAACAAAGCAGGTCAGAACAGTACAATGTAAGCAACAAGATTTCACTAAAAGACAGCCCGTAATTCCTTTTCAAAACTTACTTAAAATGATGAGGCTGGCGGTGTAGCTCAGGAGGAGAGCACTCACCTAGCACATATGAGGCCCTGGGTTCAATGTGGGGGGAACATAATATTATATATATTTATAGTCAGAAGAATAAAATGAGGGTTATTTAAAATATAGATGAATATGCTGAATTCCCCAAATATCATCTTTCATTATTTACAGAGAGCAGACCTGGTCCTCAATAGGTAGTCAATGCCTGTTTGCATGATGAATGAATGAAAAGCTGTAATACTGTCCTTTCCTTAATTTACTATAATGCAGTTATTTGCTTCCTGCAGGCATGTGGCAGGCGGTGGTGGTGGTGGTGGTGGTGGTTATAAGTCTATATATTTATTTGCTTACTTTTCTGCTTTGGGCCTTATCATGGGACCTTGTCTTCAGCTGCACTTTAATAAAACGCTGTCTGATTTGCTAATAAGCTTAGCCTCTCTTTTCTTCACCCCTATACTATTGTTTGAGTGAATATGACTTGCTATGTTTCCAATTCATCTGTGAAAGAACCAGCTTGATGTTGATATGGATCCTAGACAGCCATTTCTCACTGAGGATAAAACATTTACTAATTGAAAATGTAAATTGTTAACCTCAACCACAAAACCCAAGTTAGTATGTGTAGTGTTCAAAATGGGGGCCAAAGGAAATCTCAACTCCTTTCTGGTCTTCCTTGGCACCTGCCCCAAATGCTGACACCCTGTAGACTGCTTTCCTCCTGCAGTCAGTGGTCCTCCCTCCCTTTGTTCCTTCCTTCTTGGCTTCCTTCCTTCTTCAATGTCAGGCCATGGAATCCCTTGCACACACTGTACCAGGCAAGTTCTCCACCATTGCTCTGCCCTCCAGCCCCTCCACCTGATATTGCTAGCAGGCTTTATGGCTGTTTCCTCTTCTGGATATGAGCTTTCTAAGTGCAAGGACCTTCCCACCTCCCACTGCTGTGTCCAAGGACCTAGGATGGCACTGGCATGGGGAAGGCATTGACTATATATTCACCAGACTCCTAAGTGGAAGGAAGGAGGCCCCAGAGCCTGAGTCCATCTGAGGTCATACAGAGCCCCACCAGAAGACCCTGTCACAGAGCCCATAATCAGGGCTGGATCCTCTGCCTGGGGCCTGTCCCCATGCTGGCACGTACTCCTGGGGAGGCTGGCTCTCCCTGCAGTATCTGCCCAATGGGACCTGGGGAAATTGGGTCAGTGTAGCATCATCCTTTCCCATGTGGGAGGGGTCATATAGCGGAGATTTTGTGACACACGCATGAAGAGACCAGCTTGGTTTGCCCAGGAGAGCAGAAGTTCCTGGGATACAGAACTTGCCACTTGGAAAATTAAACTGAGATGAATTGGTCACCCTATGTGACAACTGAGAAAAATCTGTGCTGCTTTACAACAAGTGGTTCCTCAGGGGAAACCTGTCTGTTTGCCAGCAATCTTGGGCTCTCTGGAGCCTAAGGGAGCAAGCCCTGGGTAATCCCTGTGGGCTGGAGACTTTGTGCACCAGGAGCAGGGAGAAAAGAGGATTGGTGCATATCTGGCCATTGTAAAAGAAAGTAGCCTCTGGTCACCCTATCATTTCCTGTGGGGTAACAGCTCATATGACCAAAGGGCTCATTTGAAGAGAAGGCTGGAGGGTATGTGTGTGTGTGTGTTTGAAAGAAAGAGAAATCTACTAAGCCTTAACATTGGCAAATACTTTTTAACATGGAAACATTATGCAGTGGGACAAAACTTACTACAAGCAGGCTAGTCCTATCCCATGCCCCATGGCCACTGCCAGAGTGTCTGACATTTACACAGGGGAAATTAAAACAAAGTGTGAATACAGAGTTTTGATGAAGGACACAGGCCTCTTGAGCAGGGGACTCAGTAAAAAATGGGCTGCTATATATAAAGTTCATGAGAGGCTTATAAAGGAAAAAATAACTGAGCATCCCCTCTGTTTCAGATTTCCTAACTTCAGTATTGAAAAGTTCAGTTCAGTGGCGTTTTCCCTCTGCTACTCTTCAAGTGGTAAGAATGATTTCTGCTGGCCCATTCCTTATGCAGTTTTGGGGCAGCTAATTTATCTTAATTATGTTTTCATTAAGCTGATTTTAAAATCGGCACATACTGATAAACAGCAGGGAGGGTGGCTGAGAAGTGTCTTGGGTGGTGGAGGGAAGTGTTTGGGAAATTGAGGGAATTCCGATGGCTGATACATCTGTGGCTGTGGCAAGGTGGAAGGCTGACAGGCTGATGGTGCTAGCATAACAGCTATTGTAAGCTGTTGGGAAGGCTTGACTACAAGTTTACAGAGACAACTCAGAGGTGAGTG